TTTGCAAAGGAAACATCACCAGCAACTCAGAGAAATGTCTGGCTGAGTTTCAAAGTAAGTAGATCCTACGTTACATACTTAGAGGCACTTTGCCTTGTTGCTATATCACCTACTTCTAACACCATAGTGAGTCTAGTTACTGATTCCTGCAAGAGGCTGCCTATCAGAACTTCAGATTTCTGCAGTTTATTACCATTACAGGAGCAGTTATTACTACAGTTAATATCCTGGAACCAGTAAAAAGCTGGCTTACAGATAAGGAAGTAGGATGGCAAAGCAAGTCTGGTCCTGTGTGCTTCAAGTCATCTGTAAAAATGTCTATTAAATCAAGTCACAAGAGGATCAGACCTGAAGCAAGAAGTAGCATGCTGGAGAGGTTGTAAACTGGGTGGAGGCAGAACACAACGTTTTCTATAGTTTTTCAAGTATTAGCTGTTTTGTTATTGGATTTGGTGGATCATTTCTTGGGGTTTTTTCTCTCAAGTAGGATTTTCCTGCTTGCAAGAAGTCACTCTCTTTGTTCATGACAATGTTAGGATATGTTAAGCCAGGAGTCAGGGCAGATTGTGCTCTTCAGCATTGAAAGACACTGCTGTGCATGCAGCCCCCGTAGAGTTTCACTAGACTGCTCAGTGCTTTTCAAGTCAGTGTCTTCTGAGCAACTCATCAGAATAATCAGTCAGAGGGTAGGGCTTGTTTTCATTTTTGCCACGTGGCTATTAGCATATGAGCTGATGTGCAGATTCTCTCTGAGTGGATGCCATAAGATCACCCAGGCTAGGCACCACACCATCCCTGGTTCCACCATTCATTCCTTGGCTACGTCACTTTTCTATCATCTCTGAATTCTTCAGTCAGGAGCTCTGATTTCCTGTTGAGTCAACATGGTGCCAATTCCCATCAGGGCTTAATTAATTCAGTCCTTACAATGTTTCTGTACTACAAGTGAGAAAATGGTGGTCTGATATCATCTACCTCCACAAATCATCTCCTCAAAATCAAGGACTCCTCTACCAGAGAGTTCTTAAAATTTAAAATTCTTGCGAACACAATAGAAAACTGGTTTTCCCCCTCTACATTATAAACACCAAAAAGAATACCAAGGAAAAAAAAGAAAATCAAATTGTGTTTTCATAAGACACATGCAACAGGTGTTTGGAACAGTGAGTTTAGTCACCCTGAAAAAATAATTCTTTTCCCATGGACCTGACAAAAACTATTTATTTTCAAAATGACTTAAAGCCAAGCAAGAATAAATAGGGCCTGTTCACTCCTTAAGCCCAGTAAAAGGTGATCAATGAGACTACAATAGCACTTCTGTTTTCTACAGTGATTATCCAACTCCCATCCCAGATTTAATCCATATAGCTTTCCCAAGATATTGTATGAAACATGTCACTGCCAATCAAGCTTTGATATTTGGACTTTATGAAGTACAATTGAGGGACAATAGATATACTCATTATAATCAAAATATAGATAAATGCCCAGTAGAAGATACTTTGGAAGAGATAATAAGAACATACAATGGTATTTCTGGCCTCTGACTGTTCTCTGTCCCCCTGTAGTATGCAGTTGCCATCTCTTTATTAATTGCTGCCAGTTAACAAATGCATCCATTCTGTAACCAGATTGCATTGAATTTCTTTCCAATTTGTCAGATTCTTTTGTTTTACTCTTCCTCTCCTAGATCACACCTGTGGATGGTAAATTGGTTTCAGAAATGCAGTCTCACATACTTTGCTCTCGAGTTAGCTTTGTTCTCTGCAGGACACTGCTCTATACTGTACCTTTAAGTACCCAAATCAATTTAATTAAATTTCATTACAGGCAGTAGACCTGAAACAAACTAATGAAAGCAGCCATCATGTCAGGTGGTATTTATCTCTCCATTAAATTGAAAATACTCCCTTTAGGCTCTTAAAAATTAGTTTCAATATTTAACACTAATAGCTTTTGGAATTGTTGATGGGGATAGTTTTAATAAATTTGTTACAAACTGTTTACCTTTACAAGGAAAGAAGCTTGTTCCTTGTGGCAGAAGAGAGCTAGAGATCGATAACTTAAAAGTATTTGGGTTATGAAATACCATGAGGTCTGGAAGCTGCCCACAATGCTGTTGGAAAACACCACGAAGGTCATCATACATAGCAGTATGCGTTGTTGAGTCAAAAGCAATGCCAAGTCACCACAATACTTGTGATAGAGTTCATTATAGTTTGCTTGACTTGTTTTATTGAGCTGATTTGGCTTGCCAACTTGAGACTTTGTAGCAGAATTTATTTGAAGACCTCATTATAGACAGTACCGCCAGCAGAGGAAAAAAGAAAATTTGCAGGGAAGAGAAGATGGAAGAACATCCATCACACAGAAGACTTCTAGTGCTAGCACCTCAAATACAGGTCCCTCACTGCCGAGGCACCATACAACGCTGGTTCTGAGGAAGCAGGATTTACAAAGTACCTGTTGATACTACTTGTGTCATATGCTATTCCTGTAGAATCTGTGGGACAGTACAGATATCAGGGATTTATTTCATCCACTTCCCTTGTGAACCAGGGTCCAGGTGTTAATGTAAACAGTAGGGATGGAAGAGACAACAGAAAGATTATGGGGAGGGTTCACAGCACTTTTTTTCTGAACCACATGCCAGGGACTTACTTGAGGAAAGCAAGAGTGCAAAAGGAGAGTATACCTGGCCATGGATGTATCCAGATCCACAAAGCTGGAAGCATTTCTATGTAAACATGGCTGATGTCTCCTCCTTTAGCAGGCAGAGAGTAACAAATAATCTATTCCTTTTCCTTTTATCAGATTTAAAGTCTGTCCTCTTAATATCTTCCTCCTCTTCAGTCTGTTTAAAAGAAATAAGTGATCAGAAAACTACAACAGAGTGAATTAGAGTCACCTTTCTGGTAAAAAATTCTGACCCCAGAGAAGGAGAAAGAAGAGAACCATTTTTCTTCAGCATGATAAAGGCATGGGCTTCTCACATGTTTGCTCCTTCGGCGTTATAATAGAGAAATCACCACACAAGTTATAATTAACCAGAGTTATAAAAATAATACTAAATATGTTATTTGTAGTCTAGATGCTTGGATACGATTACTGGACTTAAACTATTAATTATAACTATAGCTATGAGCTATTATGTCTTCTTTAAAAATACATGTACTTTATGTATATATACACATTATGTATAGTATATATATTGAAAGGTTTCTAATAATTTCCAGTTTGATTTAAGAAGTTAGGACTTTCCAGATGTTTCTGTTTTAACTTTCATGGATCCCCTCTCTAGTCTGGAGGATGTGGCTTGCATAGAAACAGCTTTTTGGAGATTGGATATTTATTGGAAAGATTGGATATAGAAAATTTTGGTTTAAGGAGGTGATGTGAAAGAGTGACTATTTCTTTGTTCAAGCTGTTCTTACTATTTTATATTACCTGACTAGTTTTCTTCCTTATATTTTCTTATATGACTGTGATGAAATATGAGGTGCTGTTCAGCAAAGTGTCCTTAACATGAGTGATCTCTGTGGATAAACACTCTAGGGAACATCCTGACTCTCTGTTCAAGCTGTAGTCCAGATTTCACTCTTCTTAATGTTCCCTTTCAAATTGGAAATCGGAACTGAAATACACACGTGTTTGTACAAATGCATTATGTGAGGAGTAGAGACATTCAGAGTCTGGAGTTAGGTGCCACCTCTGTCTATCCTAATCTATTTAAAGTATTTCCCTCTACAAGTATGAGTATCTCCTTTCCTCCTGCTGTGTCACACTCTTGCCAAGTTCTCTTTCCTAAGAGTTTAGTGGAACAGGTATTTTGAAGCCATTTTCTCTCACAATTGTGAAAGCCAAGTGCCTGTGGTTTCCTTGGAGTGAACAAAGTGAGAGAGATGCCTTGAGCAAAGGCATGGGAAGTGGTGGGGTTAAGGGCTGGATGTCTGGAATAGCTGAGGTCGGGGTTGGGAGTATTCTTTACTAACCCAACAGTGAATTATTCTTTTGTAAGCAAGAAGAAATAAGATGAGCTGGCTTTTGGTAGTATTTTATTGTGTTTATTCAGCATTTCATTGCAAAACTTTTGTTTAGCAACATGCTGGGTGCTTGACTCAATTTCCACTGAGCCCAACAGAGTAGGCAGTTTTAAAATTGCTCAAGACTGGGAAAACTCAGTGTTACTGATTTAGGTTTAACATTATGCAGTGATAAAGACAGTTACAATCTATCAATGCTGAAGGCATTTGAAATATTGTCATTCAATAAGAGCACTAGCAGAAGTCAGTTTATTCTCTCATGATAGTTTTAGACTATATTTAATATCTTTTTTAAAATGTGAAGTACATTATTTTGGATTATTGATTATACTATGGTGTAGGAATAAAATGAATTATTTAAAGTCCCCTTTTTTATTTCTGAACTAGCTGTTTCTAGTATTTGTATTAATTTCTTTCTTTTTTTTTTTTTAATACATCTCCATTACCACAGTTTTACATAGAAGGAATAGAATTTCTCTTGGTACACCTTGGAGAAAAATGCGACAAAGAAAATAAATTGATTCTTTTTCCCTCATGTGTGAACAAACAGGCAGTTAGTATAAGTAAACTATAGGTGACCAATCTGGTAATCCTGGAGCTTCCCCATCTACTTACTCCAAAACTTCGTTATCAAATGGAAATGATTTCAAGACAGAATGCCATTTGCAATGTGAAAATAGAAATGAAAAGACAGAACTATTAAACAAAAAGCCTAAAAGTTGTTCATCATTTGTGTTATTTCACAGAACTTTCTACATTTTAATTTTTCTCCTGCTCTGTCAGTTCAGTCAGCACATCATATCCTGCACCACCAAGAATGTTTGCCACCCAGTGGCAAGAAGATAATAGCCTACTTGTGTATCCATAGTGAAAACACTAGAGGAAAATGCTCTGTACTTAAAATGGGGACCCATATGGCATTTTCAGTGACTGTTGGCTCAATGTTTGATGTTTCAGGATGGATGGTCGCAGTATCACTTTGTAGCCTCATCTTCAACAATCGAAAGGGATCGGCAAAGACCGTACTCTTCATCACGCACGCCCTCCATCTCTCCCGTGCGCATGTCTCCTAACAACCGCTCAGGTAAGACCAGGCTGTTGGGAGTAAAGACACAGGTAATTCATCACTGGCATTTTCCTTCTTTATGCCATGTCACTGGCATCTGGATTTGTTGGTAACTGTGGTAGAAGGGCATAAAGTATATTCATTGCTCTTCTCCAGATTATCTGTTCAAAACAGGAATTTATTTTTTCTTACTACCGTCTAAAGTTTTGCAGCAGAAAGAATATTCCATAACTTTCTGTAACAAATTCTCATGAACTGTTTTCCTGATGGGGATTATCTGATTAGATCTCAGGGCAATGGTGTCCATTAGTAGTATGAGGAAATTCTGTTACTTACTTTGCTAGTCATGAAACCCACCATGTTGTTTATGACCATCCTACATACTTACCAGAAGTTGAAGGATTCACATTACGTTTTTGGTCAGCTCTTATTCTGAGTATGTGTGCATACACATGCATATATAAGTTTCACAGAAGATTGACTACAGGTCTTCATGTAACTTTGATGGCATATTTACACCAGCTATTATCAACTCTATGTGATCTACACAATTAATTAATGTAAGTATCTCAACTTATGCAGCAGTATAAATTAATTTTTCTTTTCAGAAACCAGGTAATCTTCCCTTCATCTTATTCTAAGTTGGACCATACCTTCCTTAGGTAAAGCCATTCCCTGTGAAAAATTTCTGAGATGAACAGAACTGCCAGCCTTTGCTTTTTGCTACTTGTTCAATCAAAGCTGTCATTCCATAGGTACACCAAGAGTTTAGGATTAAAATTCACCAAACTTATTGCCATTAGCATTCTGCAATACCTTGGTTTTTCAAGAAAATTGTTTTGTTAATTATCTAGAAGCTGCATCTTGGTCCTGCAGAACAACAACTGAGGTGACTTGAAAATATAACCAGAAGTACAGTGAGAGTTGCTACTCAGTTTTCAAAATCTGTCATTACACAAGTCCATAAAGGGCTCTTGTTCCTCTCATTTTGACTGCAACTGCAAGGCACTTGAAATGTCTGGCCTTGAGATCTTAGTTCTGTCTCTTGACAGAACTGTCTCCTCACTCTGTTACTCTAAATTTTGGATGAGATTTTGTGGCCATCATCAGTTATCATAAGACTGGAAAAGGACAAATAATAGCAGCTGTATGTGAAGGAAGAGAAGCCCCCATGTCAATACCCACTGGTCAGCTCAGTATCATTTTAGAAAATTGCTGGAATAAATAATCACAATCTGAGCACCTCAGAGGTAATAGGAACATAAAATACTACTTAAATCTAGGAGTGTGTCTGTCTTCATAGCAGTATAAGTTGCTGTGTGTCTGATTGTATCCATATCAAATACAAACTTAGGTTCAATACCATTTGTTCTTACAAAATGCACCAGAATTCGTGCTGCAGCATGCAAACTCTGCGGAAATATGGAAGCATACCTTATGGAAAGAATAGTCACTAAGTACAGTCATCAGTAAGACTCTTTCACACATTGTTATAGGCAAGCTAGGGCAAGCTAGCAAACAGTCCAGAAAATGTCATGTGTTGTAAATACAAAACTGACTGAAAACCATTCACAAAGAATGAGTATTGCTAATTGCCTAAATGTTAGAATGCTTTGCTTGGATGTTTGCCTGCGCCCAGTACTCTTCAGTGGTTTCAGTAATGACCCAGGTAATGTGAAAGGGATGCTTGTTACCTTTATGGGTGACATAAACCTGGGAGAAACTCATGTTCTTTTGAAGGGCATTCTTGAAATTCAGAGTAATCCTGAGAAACTGGAGATAATGTCCAAAGGAAAAAAAAAAGATTCAATCCTTTACAAATAAATTAGGAAAATAACTAACTAAATGAAAGTTCTTTAGAAATGGAGTAGGGAATTTTGTCAGTTGCACACATGAATTGGAAGATGGAGAAATCATGATATGAGAATACACTGAATGGACTGTAATTGTTTAACTGAAGTAAGAGAGTGTGGAAAGAGGTACACACCGAGTATTCAAGCACATAACAGCCAGCCATGAAGAGGAACAGCATGAACTTTCTTTACTTTCATAGCAGACAAATGGAAATAATGAGGAGCAAGGAGTCAGGCTAGACATCAGGGAACATTTCCTAACAGTGGGGAAGGAAAGCACTGGAACAGACTGCTTGGAGCAATTATGTGATCTTTGTCATTAGAGATCTTTAGATTTAGATTAAAATCTGTCGAGAATTATTTTGGTATCCTGAATCCTACCTTGGGGGTAAAGAGTTGAAGTAAGTGAACTCACAATGTCCCATCCATCTCTAGGACTTCGTGATAAAATGCTTAAACTAGCATAGAGAGGTCTGTGTTCTTTTCTGTGTCCTTTAAGAATAAAAGCAATAAACCATGACATCAGCTTTTAGCCCAGTGTTAACCAATGATTTTATGTTTGCTTCCAGTAAAACCTATGAAAGAGAGCACTTCTGGATTTTAAGGCTTGCTAGAAAGCAGTCGTCCTCACATGGAAAGAGAGAGATCATTCCCGCAGTGTACAGAGAGAGATGGTTTTGTCTGTATCAGTCAATTTTGTTCACCAGAGTGTTTAAAATCATTACCAGAGTATGTGAAACAAAATGTGTCCCTCTGTTAGCAGCTTTGTCAAGGTTTGCATTCTGATTTGTTCCCCATTAGACTCAAGCTGCCATTAGATGATTTGGTAGTTTAACATCATGTTTCTTTTTATCCGCTGAATTACCAGCTTTAGATTTACATCATCATTGACAAACAGTTTAAAAGCAATCCACAATTCTAATGGCTTCATAAGAAAAGACATCTGTCCTGCATTTTTTCTGCAAAGAGCAGATATGAGCATAACAGCATAACAAGTCAAAGCAGAATTCAACATCACTTGTGCTTCCCTACTCCTTAGTTGAGTACAAGTGCTTCCTTGTTCCTTAAGTAAAAAATGTAACATAGTTTAGAGATGCTGAAAAATCAGACTCATAGACAGGTTTCACAAATGAGTTTGTCTTAAAATTTATTTTTTTCCTCCCTTCTTTTTAAACAAGGACATTGCTACTGGTTTTGAGGTTCCTTTGACACATCAAATAACTGGGTGGAGGCAGGGGAGTGTGTGGGAGTAAGCACCAGCACTTTAGTTATTTTTGTGCTGCTGTGTCCTAACAAGGCTCTGGGGGGCTCTGCCACTCACCCTGTACTCCTTCCCCTGCCATCCACAGCAGGGAAAGTGCATTTTATCTACCAACACCTAAATATATTGAAGTCAGTTTACTTGAAAGCAAATATTTTTCCCTTTTTTCCCTAAGCATCACAAGCTTTAAAGGCTTCAGAATCAGTGCCAGTGATCACCTTCACGTTCTCCAGTATGTGACATTTGGGGATGAAATCCACTTCTCTTCCTTGTCACCTGTACTTTCCTCCTTTTATCCACACCATGAGTATAGCTGATGATAGTCTTAATAAGAACAGTGCAAAGTAGCAGTTGTTGTTTTAATAGCAGATGTTCATATATAGAAATTTAAAGACAGACCAATTATTTGAGTTACCTTTGTGTTAGGCATTCTTTGCTCTGTTTCTTATTAAAAAAAGCCTTTCTTTTCTTCCCTTTGCCATTAGAGTAATTTAATTGGTTTGTTTATTTTCAAGACAAAAGGGAAGAAACCATGTTACAAGGTTTTTTCTACACAGTTGAAAGCTTTTCAATGGAAATAAAGTAACCAGTTTGAGGAAGAAATGAAAGTGCCTATACCAGAAAGTTTTGACAAGTTAAAGAAATTAAAAAGGGAAAAGAGAAAGATAATATTACTGTAGTTTTCATAATGATCATACTAGAAGTTGAATGTAAATGAAAAAAATAAAACATTCAGAGACAGATTATGTTTGCAGTTGATTGTCCACTAAATACATTTGCTCTGCACTTGAATAACAGTACCTTTTCTTTTCCTCCATAATGCAGTAGTGCTTCTTCAATATGTTGGCAAATACAAAGTTTGCTAAAATGTTTACTCTAGAGCTAGACACTGCATTCAGTCATATACAGTAAAGAAAATAAATCCATTTTTGTTATCTAGCAAGTGCCCCAGCCTCACCTCGGGAAATGATCAGCCTAAAAGAAAGAAAAACAGACTATGAATCAACTGGAACTAACGCCACTTACCATGGAAATAAGGGAGAACACACTTCTAGGAAAGACACCATGACAGGTGAGATTGTGCTTGCATAGCACATATAAAACTCAGCTGTGATAGACTGTTGATTTTATAGGCTTGGCTGGATTTACTCTACTATGGAAAAGAATCAACCTGCTTTGGCTGATTCCAAAGTTTTAGCCACCTTGAGAAATACAGCCAAAGATATAACTGATGTTAATGCTTTGTGAAAATGATTTGTAATGACCATGTTTCTTCACAGAAGACAGGCTCTGAAAACCATTCTACATTTCTTTTTCAATTTTACATTTGTTTTCAGAAGGAAGTTGGTAGAACACTTTAAATTAACTGGTGTGGTTGAGCATGTGCAGTGATCCCTAACAGCTCTTTTTCAGGAAATGGCTCTCCAGGATTGGTTAGCTTATTTTGTATATGTCATTCCTAGGAAATTTGGGGCTGTTTGTAGAGTCTGTCTATGTTACTTTCTCAGCTGGGCTGGTTTAAATACAACCGTTTTCTCTGTGTATGTTGTGGCATCTCTTGCAGGTTTCACTGAAGGCCTCTCTTCCCTGGTGAGCATTTCAGGAATTAGAAAATTTTGAATGCTTAGCCCAGTACTGTACCTCTTCATGAATTCTCTTGCAAAATACATGTTGGTCTCCATCACCATTGTAGAGCCTTACATAACCATTATTGAATATTTTATTACATTTATATAGTGCTGAGCATCATGGTGTCCTCTTCTCCAAATGCTTCCTCAGGACAAGCAAAAAAATTCACAGTGAGGAGTCACTCTGCAGTTTCTGAATGCCTGTTACCTTCTCCCATGCCCTTTTTAGAGGTGTTACTCAGAGGCAACCAGAACGGGTTGCCTTTGTGTTCCTCAGCTCACTGGGGACTCCAGGAACATGCTGACTCAGTGTCAAGCCGTCCATACTAGCTTTGAAGACCACATTCAGGATATGAAGATACTCATACTGCATCTACCGTGGGATATGTGATTATGTAATCAAAACCTGGCCTTTAGGCCAGCCTTTGAATTTGTGTGAAAGTGCAATATGGAACGTTAATTAGCATGACAGTGAAAATCTGAAGAGAAGAATGACAGTCAAGAGCATTTGGAAACCACAGAAACCAGGAGTGTCCTGAACAACATCTGCAAGGTACTACAGGAGAGTGCAGCAGATTCAGACAAGGTACTGCATTTTATGTATCTGTAATGTTTTGACTGTTTCATAGTCACTGCATAAGACCCTTCTCCGGAACACTTCAGTGGTCCTTACTTGTCTAATTGTGAAGGACAGGAACTGCAGTTTTTTCAGCTGTTTGTCAAGGACCTGTGAAGGGCAAATCTCAGGAATAAGAGCAGCAGGCTGAAAAGACACAAACATTAGTACTTTGTTCTAGCTGTATCTGCAAATTAAGACTAGCAGATTATATCAGAATATTCACCAAGCAGGCGTCTTTGTGTTGAAAATTTGTGTTTCCTTCTAGATAGTTTTGTCTCGCTCTACTTAATTAAAACAATGGGGGTTTCTTTTTCCCTACCCCTTTTCATTTTGTTTTTTTACTATAGTGTTTTTCTTCCCACTTCTGTTTCCCTTGTTTCTTTTCTTTTGCAATATAATTTTCAGATTGTGAGGTTTGTGCTGTTCCTGCAACCTTTGCTTCATTTTGATTTTTACATTGTGTTTTCCTTTAATATCACCTTGTATTTTGTCTGGTTCTATTGATTATTTGGGTGGAGTTCTAGTAAGGAAACTTGAAACTCTCAGCATCATACTCAGCTACCAACTGTCTTTCCAGCTACAGAGCTCAGTGAGGAAAAGAAAAGCAAATTCAAATTAAAAAGTGTGATAGCATCTCCCAATCTTACATGACCAATGTACAAATAAATATGGAACTAACAATTAACGTTCTCTCTCTTTCAGATCAGCAGATCCATGCTCATTTGGCCCAAGCTCAAATCTGGCACCATTTTAAGAACAAAAGAAAATGACAGAAGGAGTCTTGCTCATGAACATTCAACATGAAATTTGTGTAACATAATTGTAACTCATTAAATAATAAATATTTGATTAAAGAACAATACAAAATCAGTATTTGTGATTTAAATTGTGAGACATTTTGAAATTACTTGAATGGTCTGATATAAGTTCATGTAGCAAGTTCATTGCAATGCCTATGTTTCATTTTGTGCATCCACGTAGATGGGACTTAGATGAATGTTTTTTCAGGTTCCACCGGACGTATACGTATTTTGATCTGCTCTTCTGTTTTTGTGCCAAGCTGATGTATTACACAAACCTTTCTTTGACTTACGGATTTACACAGAATGTAGAGCCACAGCTGTAGTCCCAATTTATCCATGACTGTCTCCATGCTCTTCTCCAAAGCTTTTCTCAGTTTATAGTTCGAAAACTTTATGACTTCTTGGCTGGGACTGAAATGAAGGTTTTTTGATGGATTTTCAAAGTAGAAATGTTGGCTTCCTGCCATTGTGGGTAGTTGTCAGGAAACCTCTGGGAAAAATGGAGAATCTATGAAGTAAACAGTTTGGCTGAAGATGATAACATATTGATTTCACAAGGATAGCTAAAAAAATAGAGGAACAATATCAAAGTTCTCATTGTCCACTTCACAGGTTTATGATGCCTTTTATATTTACTGTCCATTTTCTCCTCTCTGTAGAAAATAAAAACCAGTAATAAAGTTTTGTCACCTCAAGTATATTTTTAAGACAAAACCTATTATATTCTATTTTAAAAAATTAGAACTGTAAGTTCATGTGATGATGTTATTTATGCCACGGTGTTTTCCTTCAAAACAGGGAAGATAAGGTTCCTGTATACTATCATGGGACTCCTACTTTGAAGTTTCTTTTACTTTGTTAGTTCCCTCAATGAGCTAATATGTGCATCATAGTTTGCAGACTGTGCCTTCACTTCCAGCAGCAGAAACACCTTCTGATTAATGTATTTTTCTTCTGGTTGTAAAGAATCAATCATCAATACTTTTGTTATTTAATCTTACTGGCAAAATCCCTGGACATTCAGAACACAACAGCTACCATCAGGTGGTACAATAGCTACAGGTGCTCTGGCTACTTGAACTTATTACTTTAAGAAACCATAATACACTGTATTCTTTTCTCATGCCCTTACCTCATTTTTCACTGTGCAGGAAGGTGGCAGTGGTAGCGACAGGTAATGATCTCTGTTACCTAAGATTTGTGAGGCACAGAAGCATTTCCCTGTACTGTCTTGAACTAAATTTTATAAAATGGAGTCCTGCTGCTTATAGCAGAAAAAGCAGGTTACACAATACCAGACAAGGACGACTACCTGTCCAGCTGAGCTTTCCTTTCTCATTATCAGTTTGTGTTTCTGAGGGCAAAAGGCTAGCATCTTATTATTTCAAAGTGTCTGTAAAAGTGTTCAGAACAAGACCTGAAAGCTGAATGTCAAACGATTAATCAAGTGACTGGGATACATGGGGATGACTTTGGTCAGTGAAATCTTTATCACTTAAACCACCAAGTAACGTAAGTTTTAAAGCTGTTGCCAGCTTTAAAGAAAACTGGTATGGGGAGCTATATGCCTGTTTTTTTAACCAATATCACCTTGAAAACTGCACAGAGGGAAGAAAGGACAATATTTTTCTATAATGTTCTTTATGCGATGCAACCACAAAGTACTGCAAATTGATCATACTGCTCATTTTAGAACTCTCACAATATTCTCTAGTGAAAGTACTATCATGTGCTGTTGTTTAGATACTGCATAAAATATAAACATGCACACTGATCACTCCAGTTCATTTCGTCTGCAGCTACAATTCTCGTATCTCTATGAGGAAGTGTGACTTCAGGAAAATCTTCAGCTCTTGCTCCTTTTACTTCTTTCCCTTCTCTTCCCGTGTTTTAAACAAGAAAATTGTTTCATTAACCTCTCTTTCTGTCTGTTTTGTAATTTTATTATGATGGTACATATACAATATTAACAGGGAAAATCAAGTACTAACCACACAATATCTGTCCATTCATCTAGCTCGTTCTCTCCTTTCTTTTATATTTACCCTCTTCTTTTGGACAGCAGGAGTCAACTGCTCACTGACACATGGCAGAGCAGGAGTGGAGTTCCCAGAGATGCCACCTGCATGGTCAGAAGCAGGTATCGGAGCAGGGCTGCATGCACTGCTAGCAGCTACATTGCTTGACTTATTCTGTTTCTTCCAGAGACAGAATTATTTCAACCTCTGAGCTAACCTAAGCCAAGACTTCTTATTCTTGAACTCTTGTCGTTCATTTTCAAGCATTTTATGTGTCATTGGTTTTATTACATTAAGAAAAGGATAATGCTTTTTTTTTCATTTTAAAGTTGCAAATTTGTATCCACATCACTGCAGTGAAATCAGCAACGCAGAGCTTGCAGCAGTATTTTATGAGCTGATACTATCCATTTTCCATTGCAGAATATGTAATCTGGGAGACTATAAGTCTTCAATCTGTCATGTGACATTTCTGAGCACATCAGTGCAAATGTCACAGTTGTGCATGGGACAGCTATGCACCAACTGTGGACATTTTCTGGTTTTATAATAGTCATGGCTATTAGCAGCACATATGTACCATATGCCTTTTTATATATCTGTATGGAAAGGTCTTGACCATCCTCTTAAAGTTTCTCTGATTCCCTGCAAGAACATATAAATTAGCATGTGTCCAGTTTACTCTTTTTCATCAGATTCTTCATAAAGCCCTCAGATGTTGCAACTAATACCAGTCTTTTATTCTTGACATCAGCCAGCCATGGACAACATTGCCCTGTCTGGACTGAATAAGTTCAGTCATGTCTGACCAGAAATTTGCGTGCTTATCTTGCCATTTATATACATGAAAACAAGATTGTTACAAGAAGTTCTTCATCTATGAGAGTCAAACCCATTTAATGTCACTTTCATTTTCTTCAAGAACTAGGACTTCACAAAATGGGCAGCTGAAACCCTGGGTATCTTTAGATCTTGAGAAGAGGAATTTGTATAACTCAGCTTCTTCTAGCACTTTGTGGGGCAAGCCAGAAAATCAGAAAAACAGCATTAAAAATTCTGATATCAAGGAAAGATCTGGCAGTTACACTGCTGAGAGTCATGTTGTGATGATGCACCATAAAGAGCAATCTAATACTAAAGGCTGACATCAGGAGGGAGATTTTCAAACACTAAAGCAGAGGCTGTAGCTGGAATATAAAAAAACCCAACACTAGCATCACCATCAAGTCTCACACATCACTCAGAGGACAAAATGTACCCTGAACAGAGAGAACCTTGGCAGATCAACTCTTCAGCACTAACATCTATGACTAAAGAAAACTACTCAAGCACTAATTTCCATCATTTCCACCTATTTCCATCTTTTACAACCGATTAGCACACAGGTGGAATTAAGAGTTGCTACCACTTGAGAAGATCAACTAACGCCTGTTACTAGAGTTTCTGTTACTCACACTTTCAAAAAAAAAGGGTCATGCTGCACTTGGAGACCTTCAGAGCTCTTCTCCATTTCCTACACAAGACTATGCACTTTCTTAGCAACTTCATCCAGCTCTCCAAGAAACAAGAGTTTTTTCAGCCCTATCAGTTAATAGTTATGAAGTGAAAAATCTCTTTTTCCATCTGTTAGGGCTTATCACCCCACCATATAAGCCCCGTCTTTATCCTGTTTTCACGAACGCACTGGAGATCTTTAAGAACACCATCTGAGATCTGTAAAGCAGCAACATGGAGCAGTGCACCAAACTGACAAAAATTATATACCCTTAACATAGAACCCATGACAGACATGAAGGTCAGAATTGGTGTATTCTGGTCAGCATTAACTGAAGGCCATGCCATTCCTTTCTGCAGAGAGGGTGCAGAGGTGAGGGGAAAAGACAGAAGCAGCTTTATATGCTGGCGTCCATGCTAGCATCTTACCAAAGGAAGAAAGAGTGCTTGCATCTTCAGTAACTGTAGTGCTTCTTAGTGATGTGACTAGCATGGATCCCATATCCAGCTTTCAGCTCTGATGTTCAGTCTTCACCCTCAAAGTTTTTGAGTTGTGAAGGTATTAAAAGCACGTCTTGGTACCTCCAGGTTTTATGCCATTCCACAGAGACCTCAGAGATGTCATGAGCAACGTATTTCAATTCCACCGATTACTCTGATTCAGGACTACTCAATTTTTACTTTCAAGCCTGTGCTTTTATAACAAAAGTCCTCATATCAGCGTCAAATCATTGGTTATAATGTCTGAAAAGTTAATTATGCATGAAAAGTGTGCAACAGCCACACAAAATGCTACGTTAGTAGTCTTTGACGTGTGAGAAATAACTACAATCTTTCTAGTCCTACCAGCAAACAAAGCTTCAGGTGCATAGCCAAATCAGACTGATCAGTGGAATCAGTTTTTGCAAGGAAAATCCTTAGCTTTTTATGTGAATTTTTTGGGACAGGGTGGGAAATAAATTTGAGCAACACTGTATGTTATTATCCTCCTTGCCTTTAGAATTAACTTCTGATTTCAAACTCATAGCTCAGTTTTGTCTGTGCATTTCAGCAGTAGGACATCTGAAAAGAAAGTGACAGCAGTCACTGTCTTGGCTAGACCTCTTCAGGATAACTACATATTATTTTTTTGCATAACTCATTTTTCAATTGCATTTAATCATTTTTTGCATTAATAATTTCATGATATGGCAAAATCACTGTAGGATAAGTAATCCACATCATCCTTTCACATAGTGAAAGGACTGAAATGTTTCTTAATCTCGATTCACAACTGCCACCTGTTTGGTGTATGTGCAATTTATATAATCTCATCTATAACACGAAATATATTACTGAATGTTAGGTGTATGAAGTTATTTTGTTGATTTATATGTGAAATGCACAAGATTGATGCATACATGATGTAGAGCCTGTTACCATTAGTAAATGTATACCAAAGCAAAGATGAGGACTGTTTAGTGGGAAGGTAACACAGAAGTCTGCAGATGCTTTTAAAGACTTTGGTATGTGGGAAACAGTGGTTCATGTATTTCATGAAGGCTTAAGAATTCCCTTTGAGACCAAAGAGGTATGTTTGGTAAACTTGCTTTTTCCTTCTTTTTTTCTCTCTCCAGCTCAAAACACTGGAATCTCAACTTTGTACAGGAATTCTTACGGTGCACCTGCTGAAGATATCAAACACAACCAGGTAAGTGCAGACACTAAAATGTTACTGTTCCAGACAGCTAAAGGCCAGTACAACATCTTGTATGGAAATGAAGAAAAATATCACAAAGATTGATAAACCTAGGCTAGGGGAACTGAATCATCTGTTTGCATAAATATTAGCAATTCCAGTGGCTTCAAAAAAAAAGCTGTGTTCTCTATACTAATGGGTAATTTCCGCCTAGGGTTCAAAAACATCCAACAGGTTATGACAACCTATGCAAAATATTTGTCTAAGGTGTTTAAGCCTGTAACTCATAATGAAATCAAGAGGTGCTTGGGACATTAATGCTTTTAAAGTTCTGGATATGTGTGACACAGGCTACAAAACCAAGCTAACATTAGTGGGCAGTTCTACTGTCTCTGGTATCTCATGATGTCCTGTGTCAGTGAATTTGGTGAAGTCTGGCCACATCTCATTACTTGCCATCATGAAATCCAACAGTACTGCCAACACCACATGGCTTGTGTGCTATGGCATCCTAACAAAAACTGAAGTATTGAACTCTTTAATATTTTCAAACTTCCCTCTGTAAAATGCAAAGTTTCAGTTTTTTTCAACTAGAGAAAAGCAAAGGGGAGGAAAAGAAAGGAAAACGCTAAAAATTATTACTAGTATCAGACAGGTAAATGAATATTTAGTAGAATTGGTTTAAAATATTTTTCTCTGGAAATTTTTTACTGGATTACCTGAAACTTCAATTTAAGAGACTGATATTTCAGTTTTAACTTAAAATGAAGAGGGTTTCTGATATTCTGTTATTGTTTTTATAGCTGTCCAGTATTTCCAGTGGCACTGTATTCTTTGATTGAGCCAGTTCAGTGCACGAAGGTGTTTCTGCATTTATTGCATTTTAAGAGAGCAAGATCTTTTAATTAATACAGTGTTTACAGACAATAAGGGTATGAGGTGTTGTAACAGCAGGTGCACTCGAACTGCAGCGATGAATCAGCTAATTTGATTTTGGGGGTGAGAGTTTGAGTCAAAATAAAACCTAATAAAACAAATGCCCAAAAAAACCCACAAACCAATTTTCCACCTTTTTTCCCACCTGCTTTCTCAATGAAATGTCAGATTTATGATTGATACCCCAGAAATAATGTTTTCAACTAAAAAGAACCCAGAAATTCTACTTCACTCCCCTATTTTCTACTCAGAAAATGACCAGCTCCAACTTTTTGGCATATAAATAAATTGCTTCATACAGAATTTTTCTCCCATGTCCAAATTAAACACCTGTGTTTGAATAAGTTAAATGAGATGAGATCCTGAAGGTCCTATACACCTATATATTGGAAACAGAAATATGAGGCCAAATCTTTTAAGATCACCTGTGGCACTGTTAAAGGTAGTGCACTTAGGCAGCCTTTTGCACTCTGTGCCTAGAGTCCAATACAGACATGCTTTGAACAAATATTGCAGAACTTGGGCCATAGCAGTACAACTGTTCCTGTTGCCTCAGAGGAGCATTACTAACTCTTGCAGAGTCAGCAGGATCTGCAAAGTCTTCTGACATCAGTGTCTGAGCATTAGATGACCATGTGAGGATTGCAGGTTACATCATTTTGCAGTCACAAAATCTGCCCAAACTTACAGAGGTGTCATAGAGTGAAAGGTGGTCTTTAATATAGTCCGCATGTGTTTATACATTTCAGATTTTAATTAAGTCCCAACTATAAAAACAGAGATTTGCTAGGACTGTCTGAAAAAAAACTTATGGCAACCTTAAGTTAGGGGACCATCTGATATTAATTCTTCTCTGTTTATCATAAACATTTCCACTACAAGAAAACCTGTTGGAATGTACCAACAACACAAGATTGTCAACATGGAGTGTTGAGGAGATGGTAAGAAGATGGTTCTGCTCAACAGTAGCAGAAGAACCCATTTCAGGGCAGTTAGCTAGAAATTTTCACATCAGTTCCCTGAAGACTGTAAATGGTTCCTAAGGATATGGTGCCACCTGCACCCTAAATCTCACTTGTGTCAAAGGCAGCTGCAAAATATTTAGCATCCTTGCGGTGTATGCTGCTTCCATTCATATTCTTCAAGGCTGAATTTTGGTCACCAGAGTTTGCATTATATAGGTGAAAGTTATATACAGATTATAGTTACAAAAGTAACTATACATTACTGCATGAACTACTTTTGAAGTAAACCAGCATCTTTCACAGCAATAATATTAAATAATTTTTATAATAATAATAA